TACTAACCAGCCACACCTGCACTCATGCAGCACCACAAATTCACTCTTCAGCACCGCTACTTAAGCACACACCTCATCTCTCCTCGTTGTACAGTCTTGTTTATTTGAAGTGGATTGCTTACCTGTTCTTCTAATCTCTAGTGATGAATTCCAAAGATTATCTCCAGCGAATAGCTCCAGTGATAATCTCCAGCAACCTTCATGTCTCTAGTGTCATATGTTAGGGATTACCTGAAAACTTACCCCTTGCGATGAGGTGTGTGCTCACTCTCCATCTGCTCCACCGTTCATGATCTTCTGCACCTGCACATAAGGAAAGTCCTGTTATCATTCTCATCAAGCATTACTATCCCATTATTGAACTGCTACTGTACTTACCTGCATTGCTTATATTTGTCAATAAAGACACTGTTTGCACCTTCAGTCTGTGTCCGTGTCCGTATTCCATAACAACTGACTGTTCATTAAATATAAACATTCCAACCTCAATTTTTCTGCATGTAAAGTAAAAGCACATTGAAATACCACATGGCTATATCCAGTATTTTAATTTGGTGTGATAATGCTGTGTTTTTCATTGCATTAAATGAAAAAGGATTTGTCCAAATTATAGTATACTTCATAACTCTGTGTTTGTCATGCAAGCTTAGTGTACACAATTGCAGAGAACAAACCACATTAATGAACAGATCATTTGTTCCCCTTTGGCTTATATGAGAGAATATTAGAGCAATAATTAATAGTGTTATATTCATATATAATGCCATAAATGTCAGGATCAAACTGTATTTCAAGTAACATCTAAAGACAAAATATATTTACTCTAACAGTTCAAAGAAAGTGGAATTGTGATGATGTTTATTCTCTGGGTTTGTCTCCTGCTCCTGCCCAGATTGATCAATATAATATTTGCCCTAAACTAAATGCAAACAAACACACACACACACACACACACACACACACACACACACAAAGACAATCACCTCATATTACAGATATTATATAAGCAATAACTTAAGAACCAGAGCTGAGCATGTGCATAGACCATGTTTCACATGCAGTAAAGCTCCATAATTTCTTCCCCTAAACACCCATCTACACTGAACATTCAGTTATAGAATGCATTTAAAGTGGCTATATGTATTTTTTTTCTTGAAATATCAGTTTCAGAATAATTCTAATGGTACACTATAACTTCTAATAAGGTGAATGGCTTCTTTTTCTTTCCCCAACATTCTGGAAGTTTTGTGAGCAGGTTTGTAAGATTTGTGAGTGCGAAAAGGGCAGATTGATTTATGGTAGCAACAAATGCATGTGTACAGCTATCCACTGTAATTACAACAGTGACTATTGTTTGTATCATGTCCTTAGGCACTATGTAACCCACAACAACAGCCCATTAACAGTTACAGTATTACATTTCTTTAGTACATGACATTAGACTTAGGACAGTAATTCAAAGCAGTAATTTTTATATGTGAAAAATAATTTTGAAATGTGAAGTACAATGGTTAATCTTAGGCCTGTATGAAACAAGCTACTAATCTTTCCAGATATTTTCCTTAACAGGTTGTTTGTTCTAATATATCAGGGCTCAGGTTAAAGTTCATTGTTTATTCAGAAATATGCCAAGTGGGTGAAGGGAAGGGCAAGAGTTTGTGAATTTAGTAGTAGTGGAATAACTTTAGCTATTATAAAATCACTGTTAACAACGGCTTCAAGGCCTTATTTCTTTTAAAATGTTTACTACACATAGCAAGTTTTCATAAACACACAGCAACAAAATGTAATAATTTATTGATAACAAATAATGATTCCTCGGCCAAGCAATGCCTTCTTCAGCAACTTTCAGCAGAATGGTTGGCAGCTACAGACAGACGCAGCAACACATAGCATGGTGCAGTAATAGAATATATATATATATATATATATATATATATACACACATTTTTTATTTGTAACATCATGCTAAAGATTACATGCAGCCCTTAATTTAAAGGGATCCACTACAGTTGTAATAAAATTATCTAAAAATGATAATGTTCAGATTATTGACTATTGACACCAGTGAAGTTAAGTGTCACTTATTCACATCAATTGTTCACAATTATCATTATTACCAAAACAAACAAACAAAAAACAATAATTTTATCAAAAGACCTTGCTGTTATAGCTACAGTAGCATAAATAATGTGGAGTGAATGAAGATTGATTAAATAAGAGGTCTTATCAGTTACATCAGTCAGATATCCAGGCTAAATATAAACATTAAATTGAGGTATTAAATAAGAGAACAATCCTAATAGGTTTCCTAAAAAGCCCTGAAATAAATTTCCTAAAATAAACGTTGGATTTGGATTGCAAAACCACAAGCTTCTGTTACTTTTTTTTTTTTTTTTTGTGGAAGTTCAGGGACAGTTAAAATGATTCGTGAATATTAATATTCCTCTTTAATATCTTAATATCTGAAACTCATTTGTTAATTTAAATAGTATTACTACACTAATGCTTTAACACTAAACCACTAAGTGGTTATATGGTGACACTTTATTTTAAGGTGTCCTTGTTACACATATTACATGTACTTAATATTATAATAACAATAAACTATGCATAATTACATGCAAGTAACCCTAAGCCAAACCCTAAACCTAACCCTAAGCATATTGTAAATACGTGTAGTTAATAAATATTACTCAGTTCTTAAGTGTATTACACTGTAACAAGGACATCTTAAAATAAAGTATATATATTTATTTATTTCCATTTTCTTGACACCATATTAGCCCACCCTGTCACATAGAGGCCTGTTGTGTCTTGCATAGGTAGATTTGTGTGGACAAGCTTTGATCAGTAGATTTTATAGACTTTATTTCATTGTTGTGTAAGATTAGAGACGCCTACTGCTAATGCCTCAAAACACATGCTGCTGTGTGATGCAATCCCCTTGACCTGACAGATCAGATCAACAAAAAACATCAAGCACAACAGAATCTCAGGACAATGCAATATGGCAGCAGTTATCTGTCTGAAGCGTATTTAATCCATATATTGTTTGCATGTGTGTGTGGCAGAGTGTTAACAAAAGACAGCTGCTCTTTTCAGAATTGGGGTGTAAAGGGCCCAAATCTTTCCTAGTAAGATCAGCCATGCTGTATGTATACCATAATCTTCTTTAAGGGTCAGATTATGAAATAAATTGAGGAGCTGCATAGCCAGTGAACTCCTATTGGGTTCAGTTGGACTGAGATAAACTGGACTGGTACGTATTTCAAATATAATGCCTTATTTGGCAAATAGCCTCCATACAGTTGCATCTAATAGTTGCAATCCTTATATGCTCACATCTTTTGCTAATAAAGAATCAACAGTCTGAAGTATTATGCTGCTTTTATTTTATGACCTGATTTGAGCTACATCATTACCAGGGAAAACAAAGACTAGTTGCAAAGAACAAATGCTCATTCTTGTCAAGAAAGAACTGTTTACAGGTGTACCTATAATGCAATAGACATAAGACGTTGATGTTTATAGGCATATCTCAGAGGTCAGTTATAAAATATTACTCAGTGGTCAGCAATAAATACCATATTGGTCTTTGATGTGACGCCATTTCTTGCATGGGAGTGGAAAACAGCACGGTCATTCTCATTCATTTAATACATTATTATTATCTATCTATAGGCTAATTAAAATAAATACTGCTAAAGCATCATTTAATATTTCCTACAGATTAAACTACTATGCCACTGGATAAAATATGGTGGACTATTTCAGTTACATCAATCACATACTTGGTATTTTATACGTTCTTTAGATTATTTGCGAAATGCAATTACACCTAATAACCAAGGAAAAGATTAGTAGGCATATGTGTTGGTACAACTACAAACTCCATCATTTGTTGGTCCCACAGTAATGCTTTCATAATCTCACTAAATGCAAAAGTCAGTTTTACATGTGAGCAAGGCTATAAACCACGGTGCACGGAGTTCAATGCAATATTTTTATATTCGTATGTTATGAGTGGCCAGAGGGTGGCGTATTTTTACTTCTACGTGCTGCGCAGTTAGTTTTTTTCTGGAACAAACAGATCGTATTCTACCATTCCAGAAATTTCCGAGTCTCCTTAAATTAAGGCTCTAATTTGAAAATCAACAGATTCGTTTTAACAATCTGTCAACAGACCACCTTTAAAAAGTAAATGGTTTTAAACAATACTGAAAATCCATGTATGTACGACGGATGCGAGATGCATAGTAGACATTTAATAGGCTATAAAGAAAAAAACAACTAGATGGAATGCTGTATTCAAATGCGTTCTTCTTGATGTTATGTACAATAACGCTAATGCTGGTTCGCAGACACTGTTGCTAGACAGGGACACCCGAGTGCGTAAAAATAGACCATATTCGTTATGTAACACGCAGCACGCGCACTACGACTTCACGCTTGTTTACAAGTTAGAATAGACTGCGTGACTCTGTGATCTTAATAACTGACATATGCGTTTTCTCACTCCCACAAGTGCGTATTTTCACAGTGTAAAATGAACATTGGGTCTAACTAAATTATAATTCTGAAACAGCTACAGGGCTCATCTGTATTTGTCGTCATTGCTTGTTTAAAAAAAACCACACTCAAATGTGTGTATATCGAATGTGTTTGGAGTACACTGTAGGTTTATTCAAGTTCCAGAATACAACATGTCAATGTAGGCTATATGGTCGCTAGCGACATAATAAAACATTTTACAGTTAACAAGACGCAAAGTCTCTGCAGCACTGAAGTGCGTAGGCTATATACAGTAGATGTGTCATCCACACAGCACTGTTTGTTTTCAGAGGAGGAGAGAACAGCTTGTGTAAAGGGGGATTTGCCTATACTACGTCACGGATTTGTCAAAGTACTGTCAATCTTTTCGCCTGGCCAATGAATCCAGTGAGAAACTCCATTCGTTGGCTTGGCAGGCACGCCTCTAAAAGATCGCACCGCCTTATATGACTGTTTTTTTTTTCTCGCTGATCCAAGATGGGCTGTGTATAACGTCACATGTTGTTTGTTTTTTAAGCTCAGTAATTTTGAGCGAGGAGTTGTTTTGCGGCGAACTACTAGACATCGCATTTTGAAAGAGAGCGGAAATATCCAATTCTCGGATATTTAAGTTTTTCATCTCTTTTTCTACGGATGGATAAAAAGTTATTGAAACTGAATAAATAAATTTTAAACGCAAGAATGGCAAGTCCGCCTCTTAAAGAGGGACCCGCGTTATCAAATGACAACAACATTCATTCAAACAACATCAGAAAATGCGGATACCTCAAGAAGCAAAAGCACGGACATCGGCGCTATTTTGTTTTGAAGGATCAGAGTGACGGACTCTCTGCGCGGCTGGAGTACTATGAGAATGAAAAGAAATGGAAAAACAAGTCCGCTGCAAAAAGAGTCATATTCATCGACTCCTGTCTGAGCATAAACAAGCGCGCTGACGCGAAACACAGATATTTAATAGCACTATATACCAAGCACGAGTATTTTGCTGTTGCTGCGGAGAATGAGCAAGAGCAGGAGAGCTGGCACGCATACTTAACCGATTCATTAAGTAAGGGAAAAGTGTGTGACAGTTCCGTTTCTAGTTCGGCATCATCTCTGGTGGGCTTCGAGGAGGGAAATTACGGTATGATTACACCAGTGAATGCCGCGTATAAAGAGGTATGGCAAGTAAATCTTAAAGCAAAGGGACTTGGGCAGAGCAGAAATATCACTGGAGTTTACAGACTGTGCTTATCAAGTCGGACAATTAGCTTTGTGAAACTTAACTCGGAGGTGGCATCTGTGACACTGCAGTTGATGAATATACGCAGATGTGGGCACTCTGATAGCTTTTTCTTCATTGAGGTGGGAAGATCTGCTTCTACTGGACCCGGAGAGCTGTGGATGCAAGCAGACGATTCTGTTGTGTCACAAAATATACATGAGACCATTTTAGAAGCTATGAAAGCGATGAAAGAGCTGTCAGAGTTCAGACCACGCAGCAAAAGCCAGTCATCAGGATCAAATCCCATCTCTGTACCCACTCGGCGGAACCTAAACAATCTACCCCCTAGTCAGACGGGGTTGGTGAGGAGGTCAAGGACGGACAGTACAGCAGCAACATCTCCTGTCCCCAAATTTTCCTCTTGCCGAATACGCACAGCAAGTGAAGGGGAGGGTACCATGACCAGGCCTGTCTCCATGTCAATATCTGAGAATGGGAGCCCGATAACTGTTGGCCGGAACCACATGAGCAGATCTAACACAGTCTCTGTGGGCTGCCGGACATCAGAACCATCACTGCTTCATCACAGCAGGTCCATGTCCATGACAATGTCCCACTCGCCACCATCTGCTGTAAGCCCACTAAGTTTGTCCTCAATCAGTATGAATGGATCCATCTCATCTGTAGTACACAGACCCTCCAGCTGCAATGATTCTGTTTCTGGGTCACCCAACGATACTGGCTTCCTCTCATGTGATGATTACAGTTCTAGCCCAGGGGATGTGAGGTACAACCTAGCAAACAGGAGTGACACTCCTTCTTCTCTCTCCAGTACACCACCCTCACGAGAAGCCAGTGAGCTCCATGGTTACATGGTGATGGACAGGCCAACCCAAAACAAGATGTGGCCAAGTAGCAGAGAAATGCTGGATGTGGAGACATACCGGAAGAGGACGTATTCTCTGACAACCCCGCGGCAACAGGTAGCACACTCCCAGGTATCCTCAGCGTCACTTGATGAATACATGCTGATGAGGGCTGCGAACAGCCACTCTGGACGGAGCACAAATTCTGCCTCTCCTAAGGTCTCATACCCAGAAGATTATGGGGACATTGAGGTTGGCTCTAACAGTAATGTGGGTGATGATGGCTACATGCCTATGACACCAGGCATGGCACCTCAGGGTGCCAAAAATGATCACTACATGCACATGAGTCCTATGAGTATTTCAGCACCCAAGCAGATCATTAACCCGAGGTTACATCCCCAGCCCACAGGCAGTGGCTGCACTACTAACTCGCCCAGCAGTGGATCTCTAGAAGACAGCGGGTACATGAAGATGTGGTCTGGATCCAAGTTTTCTCTTGAGAGCTCTGACGGGAGAGCGGTGAGTGGAGAATACATGAATATGTCGCCTGTTGACTCATGCATCTCGCCCACACCACCAGATTATTTGCTGGGTCAGTGTGAACCAACACAACGGCCCTCCCCATCTCTAAGTATTCGCTTCAACAAGCAACAGGCACCTAAACGGGAAGAGGATGACCAGTATGTTTTGATGAGTCCCCAGAGCCAAAATCCAACAGAAGAGGCAAACAGGGTTTCTGCCCTGCCCCCTCTCCGTCACCCCGATGGCATAGCACACAGAGCAAGAGTCAACAGGCCCAATAGGTTATCTCTAGACACTCTGAGGATGCTTCCCAGCATGACAGAACATCCTCTCCCTTGTGAGCCTAAAAGCCCTGGTGAGTACATCAACATAGACTTTGCTGCTGCTACACAGTACTCTTCTCCCTCTATGGTTTCTGTGGAAAGCCAAGGCTCATTGTCCAACCTCAGACAGGGATCCCCCCTCTCAGACTACATGAATCTCAACCAGAATTCACACTCTCCTAAACTGAGGGAAGCACTCAGCAGTCCCCCGGATGGAATGCCAGAGCTGGCTGAATGCCCATGCCCACCTGATGAGAGGGCTTTTTTCCTCAATGAACAGAGGAAATCACCATGCCCATCTGGCACAGGTAACGATAACTACACTGAGACGAGTTTCAACAGTGGTCAGATCTCACCTCCATTCCTGACTGAGAATGATGAGAGTGCTTCAGTCAGCCCCACTAGCAGGGTTCAAAGGCTTAATTTAAGCGACCAGGGGGTTTCAACTGGAATTGGTGCTTTCTTGTTGGCTGCCTCCTCTGTAGACCCAAATGGAGGAGCGAAGGTGATCCGAGCAGACCCTCAGGGCCGGAGACGGCATAGCTCTGAGACCTTTTCATCCACCACCACAGTTGCACCTGTCTTTCCTTCCTTTGCACACAATGTTAAGCACCACAGCTCTGCCTCAGTCGAGAACATCTCTGTCCGAAGCAGTGAAGGTTCTGATGAGGAGTATGGGTCTCCCATGTGCCGAGAGACTTCAGCTGGTTATCGGAATGGACTTAACTACATTGCCTTAAACCTCATGGAGAAACAAGAGATGAGCAATTGTGAGCTTGTGGGCTTCAAGACTGGTGGTTGCTGCAAAGCAGGAATAAATGGATTACATGCAACTTCATATGTGTGTCTGGGATTCAAAGAGTCTGCTACCACTGTACAAGGTGAGTTCAGATGATGTGATGGGCTGTTACATTTGAAAAGATGGCTGAAATAAACAGTGGTTGATGCCATTGTGTTGTTGGACAGTGTGGTTAAAAGTCACCTTTATTACTGTATAATTGCAAATTAAATGCTACTTAAATATTGCAGTGCTTCTAGAGAGGCACATCCAAATCAAATATATATATTAACTATACGATATAAATATTATATGAGCAATAGCAGGAGATTATATTTGATTATATTCAAGTGTTACTGTGTGTTAGTACGGTGTGTTATTACTTTATAAAATGTACTTAAATCTGTATTAAAATGTTTTCAGTTGTCTCTAGGTACCATATACTACATGTTTGCTTGTATTTATTTTAATTGTAAAAGTGAATATTATAGGATATTTAGGATACAACTATATCGAAATTATTCAGTAATTTTACAAAAAGTAATTAAACAAAACATTAGGGCAGAACGAGAGTATTATGTAATTCAAAACATTTATTGAGGTTTGCGCCCCTGGCTATTTATGTACGTATATGGGGCGTTTATGGCGATGATAAGGCGTTTTTCATTCAGAAGAATTCCAGAGAAATTTGAAGCGTGAGAAACGTGACTAGCTCAGTGGCCGCGCGCGGTAAACAACCCAACTGCGCAGGCACGATGACGCTGCAGGATAGAGGGGTGCGCGCGCCTGTTTATTTACCCCAAACTTGATCGACGCTGGGCTTTTATAGACTGAAGTGTATTAATGATTAACACTGTTTTAATGTTTGTAGGCTTTCCTATAAGCTGTTCTCTGAGAATGGAGCATGCACTGAGGAGAGAGAAACGTTATTTTGAGGTTCATTTGGCTCACATGCGCAGCAGTGTGTTCATTCTGAGACCATAGCCTCGTCGATCCTTTTCCAAGAAACGAATCACCGTTTACTTTAGTGCTGAAAGCAGATCTGTTATAATTGCACATTATATTCTGAATTTTGTTATGCTCTGTTTACTCCAACATAATAAAGCAAAATGCTATTAAATTTCCCATTAACAGGGACACTAATATAAGGTTAAGAACGATTCCCATATAAAATCTTCTTCACACATGACATATATTTCTTTCAGAAGTGCATGTGCTAATTTGCCTACTTGAATCATATGTGGGCGTGTGTGAGATCACAAGCTGGAACAATATGCTGCTCTTAAGAGCAGTGCCTGGGGCTTTTCCATGTGTACACTGTTTTTGCATAGCACACAGAAGACAGAACATGCCATGTTCTGAGGCACGTATTTCACATCATCTGGTTCACCCATATTTCCATAATGCCTCAGTTAGAAGCAGTGTTGTGGCCCAAAATGATCCCCACTGGTTAAAAAGAAAGGTAGTTTTCATTGTAGCCTGCAGTGTAAACATCAGTCAGAGGAGGGATAGTGCACAGTAGTTTAACTCTTTCTTGGCTGGAGTATTGAGCCTTGAGAATATGAGAGGGCAGGAGGAGGTGGGGGTGAGAGCTTGCTTGCATTTTGTGTCTGAAATGAACATGTGCAACCATGTCCACGGCTTGGCAAAGCAGAAGAGGGAGAGCCTGATGGAAGCTTGAGCCATGTGCTTCCATCAGGAGGAAAAACAAGCCAGTTGGTTGTTTGTGGTTCGTTGTCAGGTAACGATGATGTTTCATGCTCGGAATGCCTGACTGGGTAAAGGTTGCTGGGAGAGGCGAATACTCGCTTGTTTTGGTTTCACCTTGAGCTTTAGTATTGTTCACTCTCTCTCCACTCATTACCAGGCTTTAATTTCACATACAATGTGTTGACAAGAACTTGTTTTGCATCAAATAATGCCAGGGACTCTCAAACATAATGATGCTTTCACTTTTGTATTCAAACTGTGATGCATTTATATATGGGTTTTTAATTTCAGACAGCTTAGGTGACGATTTTATTAATTAAAAATTGTTATCATAGTTGCAGAAAAAGAAACCACATTTACAAGCAGTGCTGGTCATGCCCCATCTGGTTGAATTCCTCACAATGAATGTACTTTTGAATGTTGATTCACCGTTGGTTGGATTATCAGTAAAACTTTATTTTAGCATAGGAGAATGTTGCTAGGAAGTGAAATTGGCTCGCAGTGAAATTGGCTTGGTAAATTGGCATCCCCAAAGAGATGGCACTCTGGGTGATTTTCTGTGTCGCCTAATGGGTTTAATATATTTCCCTGTTTACAAGCACATTACTGTGCAGAAATACTTAATGTAAATGGCTACGAATGGTAAAAGCTAGGCATTATTTCCACATGAGAGCAGCAGGAAAAGAACATGCATGGGGCTAGTTTATTCAGTTTATTTCTGAATAAAGACAAAACCAGAATATGGACATTAATCTGAAAATGATGTGCATGTAAACATGTACCTGTTGCTCCCCATACAATTTTTTTTTTTTTACATTTTGAGATGCTGACATTTTAAAGATGTACCTTTAAAAATAAGAATAATAAAAAATAGCAGAACAAAAATAAGTATTGTTCAAGAATTCACACATTCATGAATCAACAGGGTTTCTTTTCATTTCTTTTTATTCTTTTCAGGCATTCTTGCCAAAAGTGTATTGTTTCGTGATAATTTGTTAACATTTATGATTATATGTTGAATGTCTCTGTATGGATTTGTAGCACATCTCTGTTAATGTCCCTTACTGCTCTTGTGCTGTTATAAACAAAGATGTATTAATCAGTTAACACCTTGGAGTACAACATATGTAAAAGTTAGAAAGATAAGAGAACTATCTTGACCAAGAAGCTGTTTTGAGACATTTAGTACATAAGAAACTTTTTCTCTCTTTTGTTCACTCACTCTCTCTTTTTCTCTGGAATCATATTTCTAGAGGTGTTTGTGTGCATTTTCGTGTGTGGCAGATGGCTGAGCAGAGAGGTGTGTGTGTGTGTGTGTGTGTGTGTGTGTGTGTGTGTGTGTGCGCCTGCCGCTCTGCTC